AGTTCGTATTGGAACGACTAATTCTTATAAGAATGTCAATCCTAATATGCGGTAAAACAAGTTATGTGAGCGTTCGTTTTTTTTATTTGTCAAAAATAGATTATTTATTAATTTATATGTATGTTTGTGTTCGTGTTTATGTTCGGACAGCTTTCGTAAGGGCAGCGACAGCAAACATTTGCTCAGTTTTGCCGTTTTACCTTGCCTAGCCCCGTTTTACCTCATCTCTCAATATATGTATTTCTCATTCTTGTTGTTGTTGTCGTTGTCTTCGCTGTACAATCAGCGTCGGTTCGTACGAAATGAACGAATCGAAAATCAAATTGGATATGACTCATCCTCAACGCTTTCGGCTGCTGCTGCTGCTGCTGCCGCTACCCCGTATGTGTGTAACAAAACAAACAAACAAAATACGCACGCACCACACACACACACACAAACACTCCCTTACATACGAGAAAAAACACATGCCTGCTATCACAAGGTATTCTTGAATAAGGGCCAAATGAATTAAATGCCAATAATTGCACGTCTCACACAGCTGGAAATACAGTTAAATTGCAAAATAAAGTGACAACGAGAGAGCGAGCGAGAGAAAGAAATGGTAATGGCGGCCGCTAGATACGAGCGTTTATTACTGTTCTTGTGCTCTTGGCACAGCTTATACCAAAACGTAAACAAAGAAGGTGCGCTCCGAACAGGACAAAGACGCCTCATTTTATTGTGTGAGAGAACTCCCTCTACAGCAAACTTTGGGCTGCATATATGTATGTATGTGTGTATGTGTCTGAACGTACGCCTGTGCCTTTCGTTTGGGAAACAACTTGAGTCATGCAGCGCGGCTGCGCTGACGTCTTCCGGGCACGAATGAATAATCAATCGCCTTGCAAAACTTGACACTGGAGATTGGAGACTTGAGAGTTGTGTTAATCATGCATTTAATTGAAAACAAAACAGAGGGTAGCTATGCAGATGGTATAATATTTATATATAAACAGACGGATGGGGTGAGAGTAGATGCAGTAATTTGCATAAAAAAAAGTGTAAAGAGCTGAATTTGGGCGCCCACAGCATAAGTCATCGCACACACACACACATTTACATTTATGTATATATCTTGGTTTTTGGCCTCGCTCGCCCACCGCAACCATTCGATAGTAGGCAGGCAGCCGGGCGGGCGATCAGCCAGCGGCAACAACATCTGCGATACATAATGTGGGCGTACAAGTTCCTCACACACCAGTCCAAAAGCAGAGATAAACACAGCTACGCAAACATGCATGCATACGTATATACACACACATAACAGAGCGCACCAATTGGATCTGCAACTCCTTGTACACACGGCGGCAATAGGGGGCGCTATTACTGCGACTTCTGTTCACGAGCTAACTGTAATCAGTTTGACGTTTGATCGTCAGCTTTTCAAGTGTTGCCACCCCGCCATAGAATTTATGGCTCACTTCGTTCTTTGACTCCAGCAGTTGAAGTGGAGGATATTCATTTGGAACACAGCAAATAGCACACATACATGCACAAACACATACATGTGTGTGCGCAAGCATATTTATTGCCGTGTGTAATTGTATGAGTGTGTGTGCGTTGGCCGCGTAGTCTTCGTCATCGTCAATGAAATCATCAACATGAAGACTTCCCTTTGACCAAGAATGCAGTCGAAATTTATACATTTTCTTACGTAATAAAACTTCATTCACATTATTTCACGCACACTCTAGCATTTGCTGCCTTTCAATTCATACATTTTATGCCATTTCAATTAGAAATTCTATAAAATATTTCCATCAGGGTGCGACAGTGTTCACTGCTGTGGTTTTATTTTGATTTCACGCACACACTTGTGGAGTTGCCCACTCATATATGTACATACACACACACACATTGCATACACACACACAAGGCATACACAGTTGTTGTAAGAGTGCACGACTCTTGTGTCACTTTTTATAAACTTTTTGCATACCGAAAATTATTGCTTAAAAACAACAACAAATAATCTCACAATAAGAATATTAAAAAAAAAGTTGGCAAAAATTGTGTCAATTACTTTTGCGACGGCTCCGCACTGCTACTCGATTATCAAACAACTGAGGCCGTATGACCAGATTTAAATAGCATAAATAACAGAAAAAGTGTGACCAACGACGCGAATAATATATGCTCATCGAGTTCAAAGTATGTAAAAGGGCATGATTACAACCTTTTTTCAAAAGAGAATCAAGAAACCTTCAATTACTAAATAATGATGGGACTACATTGTATTGATAAATGAAAATAAAAATAAATTTGAGCTGCTACAATATAACACTAACTATAGTGAATATAAGCAGGCATTCTTGTTTATTATTGGGAATTACCTATTTAATACTGAGCGAGTAAATGTGGAAAAGAGTGACCAAACTAAAGTAAAACAAAAAAAAAAAAAAAACGCCAAATACTAAAAAAACTACCAAGCCAAGATAAACGAACAAACAAGAACAACAAAAGCAGCAAAAACATAAATAAAAGACTGCTCATAAAAAAAAATTAATCTGACCAACAGAACAAAAAAACACTTTGCAAAAATTAAAGCAAAGCAAGTGAAGTCATCAGAAGCACACACACGCACACCTACTCGCCCAATAGCTCAACTTCTTTCGCCTTCAACGAAAGGAAGCGACGTCCGCGTCGCAGCAGCTGCAACAACAACAACGCAAGAATATCCACAACATGGAAGACTTTGATATTGATTTGGACCTTAACTTTGTGCAGCTGAGTCGCCAGCAGCTGCTGCAGCGATATACCAGCGCCGTGCGCCACCTACGCCGCCTTGCTGATGTCAACTATGGCGTCCGTCCGCTCAGCTTCGATAACTATGTGATCTTTCAGTATTTCCAGCAGCGCAGCTCCGAGCCTCTTTACAATACATCCACACCCCCAATGGCATACCTGCGGCTGGAGGTGCTTCATCATTTGCTCGATCGTCGGCGGAAAATTCTCTGTTGGCTCTTCTACCTGACCTTAATATCGCTGTGCGTCGTGGCGTATCGTTACGAGACAACATCATCGCATGGCGGCCACAACGGACGGATGGTCCAGTCACTGGTCTATCCCGGTATGCGAATGTGGCGTCGGATGACAATGCCGCTAATCCAACGATTTCCGCGGCTAACCGAACTCTACGACGAGTCCTGCCTGATGGGCAATCCGTTCTTTCAAGTCGAGGATCTGAGCTGTAGCCCCTGTGCGAACGTCGACAGCGTTTGGCTAGAGAGTGATGAGTGCGCTCAGTTATATGCTGACGTCAGTCAGAATCCGGGCAATCGCAGCCAGCCGGAGTCGGGCCCTCTGTCGCCGTACAAGCAGCTGACGCTGATGCATCACTGTCGCCGGCCCATGGAGCACATGCCATACACATTTCGCAGCAATCAACATACCTTCGATCTGGCTGACTTCTACAAGATCTATACGAAGAACCTGAAGGTCTTCCAGCGGGATGCGTATCGTGTTCACTCCACCAATCAGGGCGTGCACAATCTAGAGGATCTATTTGGCCAGTTCAATGCGAGTAACGCCGCCCACAATGATTACAATGACAATGAAGACGATCATCAGCAGGAGCAGCAGCAACAGCCGCATCGCCATCATCATGATAATTTTGACCATTTGTCAACCGCTCACAATTTGTGGCGCTGCAATCGCATGCTGCCCGCCCGTCTGTTGCGGCCCATTTTCGCACGGCCGCTGCGATTGCCCAGCATGAGTGTGGCACTGGAACGGTATGTGGCCATTGATACGCCACAGGCGCCAGCATATACGCTGCCCGATACGGAATGCCCCAATGTCTATGTGCATCAGGCGGTGGGCACGCGCTTCATCATCCTGCGTCCGACGAGCGAGTGTCGCCAGCGCTGCCGCACGCTCTCCATGCGTCTCAGTCAATCGTTTGTGCGTATGTATCGCCGGTCTTACATATAACACTCTCTCTCTCTGTCTCTGTATCTCCTTCTCACGTCCACACTGGCTCTCTCTCTCTTACTCTTACTCTTCGCAGTCAACTACAATTGGTTGTATTGGAAGCCGATTTCTGCGCCCGATCCCATATCGGAGAGCATATCCATTAGCCTTATTGGTTCCTACTGTTAAGTTAACACACACGTGCCACGCCTTCAGCAACCTGCCACGCCATCTAGCGCCCCCAGCCTATATTCAGTCAACAAACTGTTTATTAACAGCCAAGCCAAAATTTGCTAGAACCACAAAAATATACGAATTTTTGTCGCTCAATTTGGAAAAGAGAACAACAACAACAACAACAACAAAACGAAAGCTGTTTGAACCATTGTAAATGGGCAGCTGAATTAGCTCTAAGCTCCGAGTCCTTATAGCTAATAAGTTAATCATAATTGAGTATCCAATAATTCTCTCCACTGCTTGTGTTCCAAATCGGGAAACAGTATTTCCTTCCATTTTTTGTTTCGTATTGTTCTTGTTGTTTTAACAACAAATGCATTTATATTCAGCTTTAAGTTCGTTTTTCTTTTGGGAAATGCCTTTTAAAAAAATGTAGAAAAGATATATATTTATTTATATATATATTTATCTAAGTCAGCATTCAAATTGTAAATAAGTTTGATTTGAATCCCCATTCGATTTGTCCAATTCTGTTTGCCTAATTGCGAATTATTAAAACTCTGCTATATAGTGTATGGAGAATATCATTTGGAATCGGATAAATATAAATGATAAAAGTTCTCGTTGAATTAACCTCAAAGGTTCAACTGTACTTATCTATTATATACATATATGTATATATATATATATATGTACAATATGATATTTACAATAACAATATATATGTATTTATCTTTTGGTTGAATATTTGCTTTATCTATTTGGATATTTAGATAATAATGCAACTGCGATAACTGTAAGTAACTTAGAATATATAACATATACATATATATAATTTTTCAGCGAAAAATTTGTTATATCTTCGAATGTTTTGAGAATCTCGAAGGATCAAAAATGGCTCTAAAGAGTAAAGATAAAGAAAAAGGCATAGCTCATGAATCGCCGCCTTTATTCAGTGCATCGAAGTAGGAGCCCGTCATCAAATCCTCGGCGGCAATGCCAAATGTGCGGCTCAGCTGCTCGGCAATATCCTGGCCCTGTTGCAGAGTCTGCTCGGGTCGGAGGCATACCTCGAATTCCATAAAATGTCCCAGATCCTGCACATCGTCCATGTGAATGCGCGTCTGCTCGTGCAGGAAGAGTAGGCGACGTTTGGCCAGCACGCCCAAAGCACCATTCGACTGGCCGAGCATTTTCTCCAGCACGGCCGGTTCGTCCACATCGATTTTGTTGTATCTGGAGAGCTTTGGGCCGGCTACGTCGGGTCTGTCGTAGTAGACCAATTGTGAGCGTGCCGGCGGCTGTAAATAGCGCAACTTCAACCGGCCACCCTTTGGTGAATTAAAGAAGACGTCACGTTGGATAATCAGCTCGCCATCTGAGCTCGTTAACTGCCGCGCAATGGCAAGCCGGCGTTCGAACTCGGACGGGCCGCCGGGTATGCGCGCCTTGATCTCAACGTTGCGCTGATCGGGGGCAGCGACCGAATCACACATATTTCTCACTTGATTTATATATCTATTTATATGCCTTAATTGCATTCAACAAATATATTATTTGGTATACACCAATTGAAGCACGCTTTTAATGTCGATCAGGGCACAAAAGCGGCTCACATTGATTTTGATGAATCGCGCATATCGATAAATCTGGCGAGCCATTATGTCAACTGATGTGTAGACACTGTTTATTATTTTTTGCCGATGGTTTGAAAGCTAACTTAATTCTTACAAATCCGGCACAAAACGGACATGGAACGTGTTATTAGTGCAATTCGTAACTTACCATCATACACTTTAGTTTATTTCACTTGACTTTTTTTTAATTTTCAAAAAGAACATGTTTGCGCGCCCTTGTTGTTATCGAGAGACGAGCAGAATATGTAGTCGTGTGTACATACTGTTTGGCGCCAAAAAGTTCTTATTGAAAAGCTAAAAACTTAATTGACAGTTGATTAAATTGTTCGATGGCTCTTCGCTGCTGCATCGACCGGAAGCCGCTCGGCAATTGTTCTTTAAATGCCGGCAAAATGTGCCGTGTGCTTGTTAATTAATTAATTAAGTTTGATTTATGTATGTATGTATGTATGTATGTACAATCATAGTCAACTGACAGAAAAGTGTCGGCACTTTGAATTTAAGTAAACTGTTTCATATAAATTTAAGATTTTAGACTACAATAATATTATGAGATTCTATAAATTAGATTTCACCGACTACATCAATATACATACATACATACATATGTATGTATGAAGCAAATTCAATATTCAAGCTCTACAAACTCTCTCTTCACCTGCTAGAGATCATGCCTTAAAAGTTAATCCTATGAAGGCGATGCACATACATACATACATACATACATACATACACACAACATATGTATTGTTTGACATATGCACATATATTCTAGACTGCATTTGCCAACGTGTAGAGCTTATGAAAGAAGAGCTTAAGTGAAAAAGAGAGAAAAATTGGTGGGCAAGATATTTTCGTATTACTTATGCACAGAATCTCCGTTAGTTAATAAGTTAATACTGGGTTCAGGGCATTAAAAACAGATATTTATTTACAGAAATTCACACACAGGTACAAACACACATAATTTCATGCATTTCCACGCAAAATGGCAAGCAGTCTGTAAAATATGTACAATATACATATGTATATATAAGTGCATACATACATACATACATACATATTTACATGCATAAACTTAATTTGCATATACATATGTACATGTGTATATGTACTTACACACATACCCAACTACGTACATACATGCATATGTATGTACAAATGTATGTGTGTATGTGTACATACTTGTAAAGCTTTCTTAACCAAAAGCTCATATCCATACATACATACACATGTATGTACATATGTATGTATGTATGTACATATATGCATGAACGCAAGAGCATATCTACATACATACATACATACATATACATATCAATCTGTGCAGCAAAAATAAAATATATGTATGTATGTATGTAAATAAGTGCAAAAGCAACAAACAGCAAACCAAAAAAATCAGAAAATAAAGAAAAGACAAGAGAAAAACAACAACAAGAAAACACACAATGTGTAGACAACACACACAAGTTGCATAGTCTCCTGGCCAGGCCCCGCTTCGTGACGCGCAATAGCACATGGTAGGTAGGCAGGCAATGGCGGCGGCGGCGGCAGCGGCAGAGGGAAAGCGAGAGGCAGAGCAGAAGACGACGGCGACGACGGCGGCGGCAGCAGTGGCGGTGGCAGCCGCGGCTATGATGACGATGCCGCGCGCGCAACGACTTTGGCAGCTCAACACAAACACGCACACACACATATATATATATGTAAATACATATGTATATGTATGTATATACTGTGCGCGCAAGGGCGGCGTTTGCGTGCCCTGGGCGTGTCACAGTGTGGGCGGGCGAGCGCGTTGGCGCGCAACCGGGAATATTTCCATCTACTTCCCATTTTGAAAGCTTTTGTGTGCTCGTTTTGCGGTCGCGGACTTCGGCTTTGGTGTTCGGCAAAGCCGAATCGCGCTTTTCGTGCTCTTTGTTTTTGTTGTTCTTGTTGTTGCTGCTGCTGCTTATTACCCTGCATGTTCGAAGTGGCGATAGCAAATTTACTTTTAATTTGCCACCACCTATACCTAACACCACCCTCCCATTCTTCGCCCTGCTACCACCATAATTCCAACATTAACGGCACCTTCGATTTGTTCTCTTCACTTTCGCAGCGCCCTCTGGCGGCAAACAAACTCAACTTTCTCACTCCCTCTCTCACCTTTACCTTAACCTCCTCCTCCCACACACATTCACTTTGCCGTTCCAGCTCAACTGTCAGGTGCGCAGGGTGGCAACTTTAATAGTTGTCTAAAGGCTCGCTGTTTATGATAGGTTGGCAACACTACAAATCGATATTAAAACTAATTACTAGCTCTCGTTGCAATTTTCGCATATTTAATGAATGTATGCAACAATGATTCATGCATTTCGATCCTTGATCAGTAAAAATATCCTTACGATCGGGCTAGATACGAAGCTACAAACCTATTGATGTTGAAAAGTATAAAAACATAAAAACCATTTTATTTGAATCATATGCATATAAAAATATGCATAATTAAATATATATAATATATAAATATATATAATATTTATTCAGCTCACTTTTAAGTATGTACTTCCATATTCGATATATTGAAATGCCCACCCTACAATGCATGTCAAGCAGCGTGTCATTTGTAACCACCTTCATCTTTATTTGATCCATGATCATGTTTAAAAACTCTGGCAACAGCAACAATAACATCATGCCCCTGCTGATTCACTGCATTGGCAGACAACTTGTCGCTGAGCTAGCAAAAACAAACCTCTCGCTCACTCTATCTATTTATCTTCTTCTTCCGTCTTTCCCCTTTGTTCAATCACTAATTTTTGGCTGCATTCCATGAATGAATGAATGAGCTCAACCCTGAATTTCGTTTGATTGGCAATCGTTATCGTTCCTTCTTCACTGTTATCATTGATCATTCAATCTTTACTTTTGTGATTAAAATTGCTGCATTTTGCTTATTGTTTGCTCATCACGAAAATTCAGATTATATATTATGAGCTTGTTATAAGAGCAGCTTGGCTACTGCCCGATCTATACTTTGGTTTGGTTTTTATCTTCCTCATTGCGAAAGAAATTCTAATAGAAATAAAATGTTGTTTCTCTTCTCTTACAGAGTCACCCCAACATTAAAGTACCAAAAAGAATCAATCAAATTAGTGAAGCCCAGCTCGAATTTGTGCGAAAGCAAGACTCACACGGCAATTGATTTTATACATACATACATGTACATGTACATACATATGTATGTATGTATATATGTATATGTATATGTGTACATACATGTCTAACTAGATATATGTATGTAGATACATGCATACACGCATATGTATATAAGCGTACATGCGTGTGCCTGAGCGTGTATGTGTATGCGTGCACACATACATATATTGAAGCTTTTTTAAAGCGAGTGAATGGATATCACAAAAAAACCCGTATTCAACTAACACGCTCAAATGACCGCGTGTATTATGTGTGCGTGTGTGTGTGCAAGTACACAAAGGCAAACATTCACACAAAACAGATACGAAAATTTAATGCAGTTTTCTTGATTTTCTATAAGGAATTCTCCGTTGTTGCTGTCGACGCTAACGTCGACGTTGACGTCGGCTTCAGCGTCGACCGATAGATAAACAGTGACGGCGACCTTCGCTGCATAGCGTACTTTTGGTATTTCTCTTCTTCTGCTTCTGCTGCTGCTGCTGCTGCGACTTTTGTTGTTGTTGTTGTTGCTATTGTTGGTGCCGCTACTTTTCATTGTTGGTGTTGTTGTGTCCCTCAGTTTGGTGGCCGCTGCGCTGCCCTAGCACAAAATGTATTGGCCATATAAACACATACATATGTATGTATGTATGTGCATGCATCTGAGTTTGTGTGTGTCTGTACGGGTACCTTTTTGTATGTATCTGTTATGTGGCTGTAACTGCTCCCCTCGCACCCAAGCTCCCACACTTCGCTAACGCTCTCTGTCTCTCTCTCTCTCTCTTTTATGAGCTCTCTCTATCTACATACATATCTTCTAGTATATGCATGCATACATATACATGCGTATATATGTATTTGCGCTTGTGTGCGTGTAACCAGCTGCGACTTTAAGTTTTTGTTGCTGTTGCTGCTGCGAATTCGCTCCCAGCTGTAAGTGTGAGAGTGTATGTGTGTGTGAGAGATTGTGAGAGTTTTGTATGTTTGAGAGATACTTTGACCTTTTTTCCCATCAAGAAGACTTGAAGCTATGTTGTTGTTGTTAATGCTGCTGCTGCTGCTGCTGGCTCTGCTGCCATCGCAGCAGCAGAGAGATCATTGCAGATTATACAGGGCATGTAAATTAGTATATAAACGTTTATCTAAACACATACTATCTGTATCCACATACATATAGGCTTGTGTGTAAGTAATTTATGAATTTTCGTTCCCTTTTGATTTTTATATTCGCTGAACTGCTCAGCTGCGTCGCTGCCGCTATACATTTATGACTTCATTTGCCGCTTTGTCTTTTCATTTTCCCAAATTTATTTTTATTTTTATATACATACATACATACATATATACATACGTATATTTATGTACATATTTTTGCTCTATGTATTTATAAGATATGTACATTTCTTGCGGATTGCAGCTGCAAAGGTGTGTGTGTGTATGTGTGTGTGCGTTTGTGTGTGTGGGTAGGTGGGTGGCTGGCTCTCTGGCTGCGTGGCAGCTTTGGTCGGGGCACTTGCCAACAAGTGTCGAGGCATACACATTTTTCCTCTGCTCCTGGAGCTCGGCTCGCAGCCACTTCCCTCGTTCCCCGCACCTTCGCCCTTGACCCTTGTCCCTTCCCAACGGGCCACTACAGTTCCGGTTCAACGGACTGTTTGCATATTCTTTTTGCTTCTTCTTGTATTTATTGTTGTTGCTGTTGTTCTCTTGTTTTTTTTGGCATTTAACCAAAAAAAGAAAAGTGGCAACGCTTGGCAACTGGCGCTCACTCTTTCGCTATGTTTATCTTTTATTATTCTTCT